TCATTTTGTTTCTTTAATTCTAGGTCTTGAAAATGCAGATGTCGTTCAAAGACTTCTCATTGGTGCTTACGACGTTTCTTTCAAAATGAGGCAGTCATCACGTAATTACCTCGGTAAGAAATCGAGGGACTTTAAGTGAAACCAACGGTATAACTTAAAGAGGAAGTACGCTTCAGGAACCATATCGGTTGTTGCTGTCATTAACAAAAAAAATGTACTTGAAATTACGCAGTCAGTGTGAGAAATTCATGCCTGTATACTTTGTAATGGCCGATGGAGCCTACTTATCCTCTAAATTTGACCTGATGTGTGCTGCGCGTTAGAACCCATATCAATTGGATGATGTTAAAATAATTACGACCACTCAGGACAAAGGAAGGCATCATCAGGGGTCGGTGGAATCGAAAGGTGAAATCAATCGAACTGCCTGAAGCACGAGAAAATCAGTGTAGGAAAGTCACGAGTAACTTAAACTATAAAGTATCGAGTTTTCTGACCAATCACAGAGCAGAGCAAGCAAAACAGAAGAAAACACCCTCTCCCTGAATTTTAACGATTTATCATATCAGCTGAGGTGCTGCGAAGTAACAATTTGTAACTAATCATCAGACTGTGAATATTGATGGTGAAAGCGCTTGATTACATTTCAGGGGTTCAAGCAGACAATGGAACATATTTAGTTGGCAACGTAAGTAAAAACGTGCAGGAAGTTTCTGTTGCTAACACAGTTATCCAGTATACCCGCAAGAAGTCAAAGTACAAAGTGATACTCACGATTCCAGGTCCTACAGATCAGATTCTTAAAGTAGTGGTAAGGAATTTTTCTATTAAGTATTGTTCATAGTAAACTTATATGTGACTTTATTTGTGCGTTTCCCTTAAAAGTTGATTAAATAGAGAATAATACATGGGCACGTGTGGATATGGAAATTCTCTTCGAGTGTTTACCTCAAAAGCTTCACGAGTAAGCGCTGCGAGCGAGTGAGATGTCGAGTTGAACACAAGAAGAGAAATTTCATATCCACGCGCGCCCATGTATTATTTTGTTTATCATATAAACACAAACGTCCTTTGACGCAAGAAAAGTCAACTTCATTAGTGAATGAAAATATAAAGGATCGACAATCACCGAAAAAAAATCGTAAAGTCCGTCGGCGCTAATGCTCAGAAAGAAAAACTGCGTCGAAACACCACAAAAACAAACAATGGCCGTAATTTTCATTACACAAAACATCTCGGCTATTGACTCGGTCCTTACCGGTAGAAGAAGTCTTTCAGGTAAACGGCCAAAATCGGCCTGTGGCAAATCTTCCAGTTCTTGATTTTCGTTCTCAGCTGCGAGAAACCACTGAATACGTAACTTTCAGTTTTCTTCCCCCTCTAGGAACGACTAAACGTCATTGTCAGTAAACGATACGGATATTTAAGTGTTTTAGGAGCCATAATCCGAAAAAATTCCCACAAAAGACCTTGGATTGTAAATGGTGAAGGCTTTGCCGTTCATTTATCAACCTTTAAAGTGGCTAGCAATTTCAAACACACGTGAAAAATTACGATATTTTTCACATGTGCTGTTACGGCTTTTCTCAAGGCTGGAAATCCCATTATAATACCGCTGTTTATATGATAAATCGAGAATAATAAATGAAACACGTAGATATGGAATTTCTCTTCGAGTGTTCAACTCGGTAGCTCACGAGTAAGCGCAGCCAAAATCGGCTTGTGGCAAATACGCTTGTTTTTACACATATCATTTCTACACCATCTTTTGGCACTTTATGTAAATTACGCCGCCTTTTATAAATTATGTTTTACGTCCCTCAAAGCAATGTGTTTTATATTTGCGTGGATGTGCACCCTTTTCCTACGAGAGTTTCGTTTCTCGTATATTCCCTCACTATTTGGCAATTTTTTTGCCTCGTGGTATCATCACGTTTTATTTTTGCCTAATAATTTGTTGGTATTTTTTTATAAAATTCGTTTTTCCGTTCCTTACGAATTTCCTTCTTCTTCACGTGCGTATTAAAGATAAGTTAAGTTGAATACCGAGTAAATGTAATTGATTAAAGCGGGCCCATGCCTCTTCAATATTATATTTGTCTTGGGTAAATCAAAATAGCTGTGCATTTTTTAATACTTGGAACTGATAATATTGAGGGAGGGGGGGGGGGGGCAGAGGTTATTTGTGGGGCATTCCGGCAGGTTACTTTGTTACCTTATGATTTCAAACTGTCCTTCGTTCCTTTATTTTCAGTATGTTTATGTCCAAGGTGGAAATCCAGGAGTAGACTTTGACTTTAAAAGGGTCGTGCAACCTTCCGACACACCGCCTGAGAATAAATTTGAATGGGTGACATACACGTGGTCCGCCTGTTCCACAACGTGTGGCCAAGGTACAAACTCTTGAACTACACGCGAGAGATTAAGAACTGCACGCATGTGCGTTTCTGCTCTCTTGCGCACGTGTTTCTGTTGTTCTTACTAAGTCCAGGCAAACTAACTGTTTGACTTTTCATAATCAAGATATACATTGAAATAGCTGATAGTGCTCACTGCTTTTACGAGAAACTGGACGTTTAGCTGTAATTTTTTTAAGCTGTGAATTTAAGTGTGCTTACTGGAGCTCGGCAACATAGCGATGATGGCGATACCCTCAACATCCAAGGTGTCACCGTGAATGTAGAAAATCTTCCGACATACATTTGGAAGAACCTTTTTTCTAAATTCAGGAAGTGCCAGAGAATCTGGTCACCTCCCATCACAGGTGAAATTCGATTTAAGTTTAAATTTTCTTTTTTTTTTAACATTGGGCTGATGTGTTCTACGAAGTGAATTGAACAGGAACTATCAACATGTTGGAGAGGGTCAAGATACTTTACCCTCTCCAAGCAGATACTTGCCTTTTTGATCATCTACCCTCTCATATCCCACCCTTGCTGGTGGAGTAACTTGACGGTACTGGTTTGCGTTTTCGCTTGCAGGTGTTCGTACACGCTCAGCGAGATGTATTCGGTCAGATGACAAAACACCCGCCAGCGATGAAGCTTGTGGAGAGAAAATTACAAGTGAATCATGCCAGGTCAAGGACTGTCCCTCGGAGTAAGAGCAATGCATTTCTTTGACAATCGATTACTGAGTTAAATACAGAGCTAATGGTTTACTTCTCACTAACGTGAGTTTGGGTTGATTCATTTTGGCTAACGCCTTCAGAAGCGTTCTTCAATGGATTAGAGAGGGTGCTGCTACACTGAGTCTGCTCAGTGTTAAATCGATCAGAATCGATCAGAGATAGAAATTTTGAGTACGTAGAAGGTATTTTGGGAGTCTTCTCGGTATTAAATTGAACAGAATCGATTAGATATAGAAATTGTTAGTACGTATATCTTACCGTTGCTGTGAATAGTCCATTGCGATAGATTAACCTGCAGTCGTTCGGCTTTTGACGTAGAAAGAGAAGCCTGAGCGCCACGGTCTTGTGTCTATATTAACTATATATGTAACACAAGAATTTTTGCTTTCAGATGGCACACCACTGATTGGTCAACATGCTCCAGATCATGTGGCAATGGGTTGCAGACACGCGATGTCATCTGCCGTAAGAAGATCAACCCTACAGAGTATGGACCAAGCACAAACTGTCCTGCTAATCAAAAACCCAGCATTTCTGAGAATGTTCGATATTGTAACAGCATCGATTGCTTGGCTGATTGGGACACTCAAGAGGGGCTACTGGTAAGTGCCTCCAATTTTTAGAGGATCTTTCAATCGATCATTTTCAATTTATGTATCAGGAAGTATGAGATATTATGACGTCAAGTTAAAAGTCATCCTGAAAATGAACGTTTATTTCTCTTAAGAATCACGAGAGTAGCTCTATGTGTTGAACTTCTTCTAACGTCGCCAGAACTCCCTCTCAGCATTATATGTCAATGGAGCGTTAAGTAGAAACGTGAACGATTTTCTATGGGGTTCCCAACCTCAGACTCGGAAAAATGTTTTGATTTTCTCTTCTTATTTTGCTTAAATTGTTTGAAAAATGTACAAAGTTTTAATGCAAGGACGTGCAGAGGTATTGCTTTTTAGATATTTGTATTCCGCTGCGTTCTCGTTTCACTGTTAGGGTTTTCTGAAAGTCTTGTAAAGACTCATTACGTTCTTGCTTCGGTATTGTCAGCTAGCAGGCAGTTGCTGCAAAATTGTGAATGAGGAGCAGTTTTTAACACTCGTTCATACATTTTGTGGGAAGTTTATTACCTGACAACGATTCTAGTCAATCCAGACTGATCGCATATGACTTAAGCGTACAACAGAGGGGGCTTTTCGTAATAGCCAGATGTCTTTGGTAGGTGTTAGTTTGAGGTCTCAGTGTCCGCCGGGCCGGGGTTGAGTTTGCCTCTCTTCTTTCTTCCCCTTTCATCGATTCACAGTTATTCTTATATTTTTCTCTGTTGGTCTGCCTTGTGCCCTCAGTGTAGGGTGAAGGCAATCCCAGAATCACTTGCTCCAGCCTCAGCCAGCCGGCTAAACCAGTTGTTTTGTTCTTCGCTTTGGTTAAATTTTCGTTAAGCTTCCATTTTTCACTTTATCCGAATGGTTTCTCCCCTCGCTACAACACTCACTCTTACCAGAAGGCCTATATCTTTCCTCTTTCTTTACAGAGAGACAAATGCGGGGAGCCAATTGATCCAGCGACGCTCTCTTGTTACCGATTGGATCAGTTTGGCCAGAAAGCCATGGTTCCGAATCTTTTATGTAGGTACAGAGCTAAGCCGACACGTCTCCCGTGTACAACTACATCATATCGTTCACAATCATATCGACATCAATATGCAATATTTACCAGCGTATTGGTTCCTGTGCTTCAGATGTTGCTGGAGTATTATAATTTGGGATAGGTTGCATTTACTGACGTCTGTCCTTGAAGGAACTTTGATTTTAAATTGTTAGAGGTCCCTTTTGTTGCAAGTCAAATGGCTCTCTCTCCTTGGGAGTGGGAAAGGATGCTCTGTTACATATATAAATGATTTCAAGTGTGACAGTACAATCAAATCAGCTTCTTCTTAGAGTTCAATCATTGCGAATGTCCTTAAATATATTTTAACAAATTTGAATGGAAACTTTACCTTGGGTGTCTACTAGCATCTCAGCTAAAATGAGAAGCACAGAATAAAAAATAAAATAATCCGTCAGCAGAATTAAATAATCCGTCAGCAGTACCGTTTACTGGCATAAATCACGACATTTTGTAAAGAAATCTAACATGACACTCTTACCTTGTTTATTTATCACATTATTAGCTGTTTCGATGATCAAGTTATGCTCTACCACATTTTAGCCAGATTTAATTTGCAGTTTGTAAATCTTGCCCCCATTATTATATTAGTCGCATTACAAGCGTGACACATAAATTCAAAGACGAATCAACCTCCGAATTCATATCTGTAAAAACCTTCCAAGAACTACTGTATTCAGAAAACTAAAACGTTCAGATCCATAAATGATTTCTTTGCCGGCAAAAGTCAAAGAATGTTTACAAAAGTCAATTCGATTGACAAGGCACATACTGATTTAGCTAATTGATCTGTTGTATGAGCGTCTCATCTTACATGCTAACAAGGAGATTTGCTGTTCATTTAAATCGTTCGCTGCTGGGTCTTTTGGGTATAGTTATCAAGAAGACCGACGTTGCATATCTCAGGTCGTTCCCCTGCGTAGTTTTAAAAAAGACATTTCAAGTTACTTGCGGAGATCCAGAAGCTGAAGCTGATCTTATTTCGTCGCGAGCCGGCATCTTAGAGACGCCAAAAGATATCGATGATTTTACAATTTGCCCCATTCATAATCAAATCTAGGTACCGGTGTTGGGTGGATTCGTGGTTCCATTAGTAGATGTAGAGTGCATAAAGAAGTGTGCGGCCATAGTAAAGGTAGGGTTAAGTCGATTGCAAATGCCTATTGGGGAACTGGCAAGCGTGTACCACAGATAGCAAGCAAGACATCTGGAAAATTCATATAACCCGGCTACTTACCACCTTGTGCAAAGTTACACGTCCTGTCAGACTTAGGCTTCGATTGGGAATTGGTCAATAGGCTACCAAAAATCCAGACAGAGGCGGAATTTTCTATACCAATGTCTGAGCACCTTGTAAGCTTCCCGCTGTCTGGCGGGACGCGTAATTAAGCACGCAGTGGTAAAGGGCCCTTCCGCAGTAGCTACAAGACGCTGACAAAACTTTTTTCTCTTCACCGAAAATCACATCAAAATTTGTCCTTGCTAAATTTCAAGTGTGCTGAACGTATCAGCACCCCCCGGGGAACCCCTATACATAAGAGGGCGAGGATGCGCGCCGGAAATTTTGTAAATGACCCCTATAAATTTATAAAAGGTACCTGAGTCTTATCCGTGTTGGAGTGGCAACAACTGATATCTACCCTTAAAAAGTACCAATTTTAACACAAAAAAATTGAAAAATCCCAAAAATAAGAACTCCTTTATCGATGTGCTCCAGAAGCTCAAGTCAGGTCATTGAAATCGTCCTAGTAATACTTTTTTCAGGTATTTCATTGCCCTAAAAGGTACCAGCTGGGTCTCTGGTAGTACACGAAAAGTTTGAGACACCGTAAAAGGTACGACAAGCATCCTCACCCATTTCCGATCGCCTCCTCCTCCCCCCCCATCTTCCCCCACCAACTCTGTCAGTGCCTAAAAACAAAAGATGTGATTTGCCAAATATGAGCTGTCAGTCTCACCTCGTAAAAACTTATACTTACTTATAAAAACTTTTAGGCACTGATCTGTCAGATTTTTATGCTAAAAAAATCTGTCCTGCTTCTGAGCAGGACGGCTGTACTTTTTTTTTTTGTTCGTCATGACATAATTTGGTAGGGATTGAAATAACTGTACGTTTGCATTTGTGAAACAGACTATACAAGCGCATCCAGAACTCGATGTGTGCACTTCTAGTGCATTAAGTTTTCTTTTGCAACATAGCCAAAGATCTTGCGATGTTTACTGTTCAAGCCTTTTTTTATTTTCAAAGAGGCATCAGAATTATTTTCATGTCAAATTTGCCGTAAACTGCTTGCGTGTCATCCTTTGTTTTCAAAGTGTCCGACCTGATGGCATATTAGGGACGGACCATTAGACTTTTGATGCGGGGGGGGGGTGTTGGGTGTTGGGTGTTGGGCAATAACCCCCGAAAAAATCGAGCACAGGCTTAATGGAAGAAAATACATAGTGCAATTGGCAAAAATCTAATGGTCCGTCCCTAAGGTACCTTTTACATTATTCCAAAATGGGTTTCGTTCCGGAACGAAATGAATTTCATACCGCGTTTACATGCAAGATAATTTAGCTTGTAAAGACAAGTATTTACGTCCTTTTTCTATGCTTACCTCGCTAAGAGGATTTATACAGAGATGAGTGTCGTACCGCGATTACATTATACGGGTACAAAAAGTCGTCCAGAATCAGTGTTTCGTTCTGGAATGAAAACCCCGATAAAATCATTCAGAAATGACTCGTTTCGAATAAATTTTACTCTGGTATCATGTGACAACCGGGATGAATTCGTTCTTGGACAAAACTCATTCCGATATCATGTAAAAGGAATTTTCGATTCAATTAAACAAAAATCTTCATACATGGTAAATATTCATTTGTGTTGGTATCACGATAGAACAACACAAATACACAAAGAACTTTTTACAGTAACTTAATAACCATCCTTTTGTCTTTTAAAAGCTAGACGCTCAGTAGATTCTATCATATTGGTCATTGTTAAGACTGACATCCTCTCTGAAATGTAACCAGTTAGTAGAGGTTACACGTACGATTTCTCGCGTGTGTGTGTTTTTTTTTTTTTCAGTTTTTCGGAGGTTTTTGTTATTAAGTTTGTATTTTAAGCCGTTACCGTTTTACTCTCTTTTTACCTATTAAACGCTGCCTGCTTTTAAAGGAGATTTTCGTTACTGCTTCCGAGCATTTCTGGCGACCACGATGGGAGCAAGGTATGAACTGGTGTTTGTTTGAGGTTTCGTTTGCGATTTGAGTTTTTGAGTTTTGAGTTGTGCACTATGGCTCCCGAATCTGAGGACAGCGATGTTACCGAATTTACCTAGTAAAATGACGGAATTGTGAATGGAGTCGACAAACAGAAGCACAAAGACGTTCTGTTGATTCAGATTAAAAGAAGAAAACGCTCTGCAAAGACAAAAGTGACAAAGCTCAGACATGAGTTAGAAAGACTATGCGTGAAGGATTCCGAGGTAACGGACATAGAAAGTATGATTGAGCAGTTTTGGGCAGCTCTTGAACACGCACAAGAAGTTTTAGAGGAATTATTCGCCTTCTATATCGAAGTAGAAGACAATGGGAAAAATGAAGCTTTTAAGAGTCAGAAACCATCGAAAAAGACGTACAAAAAGCGATCAAAGCGGGGTGAAATGCGATCGAATTTCGCGCATGCAAAGTCATGAATATGAACACGCCATTAATCGAGAACACGACGGATCGCTACGAGCAATCGGCCCGAGAAGATCAGCTAAACGAGAGTCACCACAGCCACAAGGACCGAAACCGATATTCGAAGCCTTTAAAAGTTCCGACATTTAATGGTGACAAAAGAAAGTTTGAAGGTTTTTGGGCCCTCTTTACAAGTCTAATAGACGAGTTAACGGAGCCAGTAAATTTGAAGATGGCAAGGCTGCGACATTGCCTCACTGAGAACGCCTTGGAAGGCATCCGTGGTCTCGGAGTTACCGTCCACGAATACGAGGAGGCCAAAGAGATATTAAAAACGCAGTATGGAGGTACGCGTCGGCTTCTGCGAGCCTACTTGGATCAACTAGAACAGGCGCCGTTAATACGAAGTAACGACATCCACGCAGTGGAGAAGTTTGTTGACCTTGTTAGAATTACAGTGGTAAAGTTACAGGCCGAAAGAAGAGACGGAGAGTTAGAAGATGGAACTCTTCACAGCTTGCTGATGAAAAAGTTGCCTGATCGCCAGCTAGAAAATTACAGTCGCTGATTGAACGAACGCGCCAGACAAAAAATCAGTCATAGCTTTCAGAGACTGGTCGAAAGACGAAGTCAGATTCCAAATAGAAGCAGCGGAAATGGCGAATGGTATTGAGCCGAAATCCGTCGACCACGTTAGACCACCGAGAGTGCCGAGACTATCGAGTTACTAGGAACAGAGCAGGATGCAAAATTTTCATACTGATGCAATAGGGAAAGAGCCAAAGAGTGCCAAGCCTCCGTGTTCTCTCTGCCAGAGTTTCGATCACGGGGTGGGATTTTGTTAGGAGTTTTATGACAGAGGAGTGGATGACTGCTGGAAGATCGCTAAAGAAAAAAAGGTTGTGTTCGTTGCCTAGCCTCAGGGGGAAAGATTTCCTAAGGTCCCGCACATGTGGAATAGATGTTTGTTCTCGAAATCACCACCGTCTTCTTCATGGAAGTGAAGATTTTCCAGAAACCGGACCGATGACAACGTTGCCTCATGCTGACGATGGGAGACACCCAGATGTTCCACGGGAGGGGGCGCCCGCTGTGACCCTGACCAGCTGTAGTACAGAAACGCCAACTGAGTATTATTCGTTTCGAACTGTCCCTGTGTGGATGAAGGCTAATGGAAGAAAAGTAAAAATAAACGCCATCCTAGACGATGCATCGAACGAAACTTTCCTAAACGAAGCGGTTGCTGGGATACTGGGACTGCAAGAGCCATTCGAAAAAGTTCAAGTTTATGCGCTCAATGACACCGTCGAAACATTTCAGTCCATGCCAATCAAAATCGAAAGTGTAGATGGCAGGTTTTCAAAGGAAATAAGCCCAAAAACGTGTCCGCAGAAATTACAGAGTTGTGAACTGGAAGGACCATTAGAATAAATGGCGGCATCTGACCCAGTGCAATTTTCCCAAGCCGGCAAATGATGGGCTTGTCCATCTTTTGATTGGCATTGATAACGCTCAATTCCATTATTCGTACGTTGATCTCCGTGGAAAAAATGGTGGACCCATCGCCAGACACGGACCACTTGGGTTGAGCTGTATTGGTGCGCCGGACGAAAACGAGACCGCGAGAACACGATCTCACGTTATCCGTTCCTTGTTCACTAGAGAACCTATATGGAGCGAGGGAAAAGAATCCTGTTGTGACGTCGACAAGTCTGGAGAAGTTTGGCTCAGACTGCGATGGCAGACTTGTACTCACCGAAGAAGAAAGACTAGCCTTGGGCAAAGTGAAAGATTCCCTCAAGTATGAAAATGGAAGATATCGTGTAGCCGTCCCTTGGAAAGAAAACAAACTCGATCTCCCCGACACTAAATCCATGGCACTCTCTCGCTTCAGAAGCACCGAAAGAAATCTGAAGAAAAACAGTCGCGTCGCCGACGAATATCAAGCAACCATTCAGGCCTATGTTGGAGTGGGATATTTACGAAAGGTATCCTCAGAAGAACAGCCGCCAGCTAAGGTATGGTATTTGCCCCATTTTTCGGTCGTGAGAATGGATAAATCGACAACGGAAGTTCGAATCGTATTTGACTGTGCCGCCTAATGTGATGGTATTTCCTTAAATGAAATGATCTATGCTGGGCCAAAGTTACAGCAAGATTTTTTTAACGTCCTTATTCGTTTCCGTCGAATCCTGTTGGTGTCGTTTGCGACATAAAAGAAATGTATCTTCAGATAGAGATTGAGGAGCGGGACCGATCCCACTTCCGACTTTTTTGGAGATACCTTGACTCTAACCGAGAGCCAGACGTATTCGAGTTTAGCCTTGTAGTTTTTGGAAAGATTTCCGCCCCTGTGGAGTCGCAGTTTGTGGCGTAGGAGAACGCTGAAAGAAACCAAGACCGCCATCCCCTTACCACTAAGACCGTCCTTAAGTTAACCTATATGGACGATTCTATTGACAGTGTTGAAAACGATGATGAAGGAGTGGAGCTGTACCGTCAATTGAAAGCACTATGGGGAATTGCCGGCATACAAGCCAGGAAGTGGATCTCTAATTCACCGAAAGTTATTGAAGCGATTACGACAGAAGAGCGCGCCACAGAGATCGTTATTAACAGCGGTCAAGATCCGATAACGAAGACACTTGGAATTTCGTGGAACAGTACTGAAGATGTGTTTACCGTCACCGCTTCTGCAGTTTTCCCGGGATTTCAGACAACAAAGCGAAACGTCCTGCGTAAAGTAGCAACGATTTTTGAACCACTGGGATTTGCATGCTCATACGTTATTATGGCCAAGATCCTACTCCACGAGCTGTGGATGCGAGGCTACGACTGGAACGACGAAGTTCGAGATGAAATAGCAGACAAAATCGGGGATTGGTTGGAGCAATTGAAAAGTCTGCAAGAGGTGAAGATTCCCCGGTGTCTACGACGTCCAGACCCTGTCAAGCGCATTGTGACATTTGCTGATGCCTCTCAGCAAGCTTATGGTCCAGCTGTCTGTATGCGCTTCGAATACGATAACGATACCGTAACCGGTCGCCTGATTGTAGCTAAGGGTAAAGTGGCGTCGTTCGACCCAATGACAGTACCCAGACTGGAACCCATGGGTGTTATTCTAGGCCTACGTTCAACACAGTCCTTCCTGACGGTCTTAGGATCACCAATGCAAAGCATGACGTTCTTCTCTGACAGTACAGATGTCCTATGGCGGATTCGAGGGCGCGGAAAAGACTTCCGACCGTTCGTAGCCAACCGAATCGGTGAAATACAGATGTTCACTGAACCGTCACAGTGGCAGCACGTCTCTACCGTAGAGAATCCAGCCGATTTATGCACAAGAAGGGCCTCGTCTTCAGAGTTAGCCGAATGTCCCTTGTGGTGTGAAGGCCCTAATTGGCTTACAAATGATTTCAGTGAGTGGTCAAAGATGAAGGTCCCGGATAGACCTAGTAAAATGCCAGAGATAAGAACCTCGAAGAGGAAAGAGGAGACGAATGCTTGTGCAACCCTTATGACGATACTAGATTTCCAATTATTCTGCCTCGTGGACACTGGGTGACGAAACTTATCATGAAGAACTATCACGAGAGAGGAAACCATGCCGCTGGAGTAAACTTCATTCTTTGCAAGTTGAGTGAGAGATTTTGGATCATCGCCGCACGCGAGGAGATTCGCGAGTGGGATCACGAATGTAATGAATGTAAGAGAAGACGAAGCAAGTCAGCCTGTCAGATTATGTCGCCGCTCCCGAAAATGAGGTTCCGTTTCAGCTTCAGATCCTTCGCCCAAACAGCCGTAGATTTTGCTGGTCTCTGTACGCTATTCAAAGACGCGGAAAACTACGACAGAAGAGGTGGCTGTGCCTTTTTACTTGCTTGGAAACTCGAGCAGTGCATTTAGAGATGGCCTGGGGACTTGATACCGACACGTTCTTAAACGCCTTCGCCCGTTTCACCGGTCGCCGCGGAGTTCCTAAGGAAGTGATAAGCGATAGAGGCACAAATTTCGTGGGTGCCGTGAGCGAGAAACTAGCCAGGCAGTTAGACCGACGACACCTTCAGAGCAAGACAGCGGAACTTGAACTGACATAGAGATTCAATCCACACAATGCTCCACATTTTGGAGGAGCCCATGAAGCTATGGTGAAAGCTGCTAAGAAAGCCATTCATGCCGTTGTAGGAGCTGATCACTATGTTCGCTGGGGTGGAATCCCTTCTTAATTCCCGTCCGTTGACTTATCAGAGTTCAGATCCACGAGACGATGTTCCATTGACCCCTAACCATTTCTTGCACGGCCAAATGGGGGGACAGTTCGCACCTGAGTCCGTTGAAACCACTCCTTTGTATCCTCGTCAACGATGGCGAAAGGTCCAGGACATTATTTCACGAGTGTGGAGGAGATGATTCAAGGAATGTATTCCTGCCCTTAACAGCTGTCCAAAGTGGACTTCAGAATTCCGAGACCTAGAAGTTGGAGATATAGTTCTTGTGATTCAGCCCGATACTCCAAGAGGACGTTGGCCGTTAGGACCAATTCCTGAAGTGTATCCTGGACGTGATGGCCACACCCGTGTTGCTTAAGTTGCGTGTGGCGTCAAAACTGTCTTGAGACCAATTAATAAACTGATTCCCCTTGGAATTGATTGTTATTTAGAAACACACTAGGACTACCTCCCAGTGTGGGGAGGGGGAAAATGTGGAGAAGAAAGTACCGGACTGACGTGTCGTGCAATTAGCGCGCGCGCTAAGACTTTTAAATTTAATCAGTTCGTAAGCAAGTTACGCGTACGATTTCTCGCGTGTTTTTTTTCAGTTTTAGTCGCTTTTCGGTGGTTTTTGTTATTGAGTTTTTATTTTAAGCCGTTACTGTTTTATCGTCTTTTTACCTATTAAACGTGCCTGCTTTTAAATGAGATTTTCGTTATCGCTTCCGAACACCGAGTAAAACTAAGCTATTGGAATAGACGTACCAGAATTCGTGTAGAATAAAAGGGGAAGATCCTTTTCTGATTAAAAAAAATGCCAAAGCAAACGAAACAAGCGAAAACTCTCCTCGCGAATAATGTACCGCAAAAACGACGCCGGAGTGTAGTCTAGTGATGTCTTCAGATCTGCAGTTTGATTGAATGATAAGTAAAATGTTTTCGACAGGAAATTTGGAATAAATGTGCAGGGTGTTCCATTGATGATTTTCCCTGAGTGACAGTAGAAAAACATACAAATTTTCGAACAATTATTCGTATGGATGGTCTTCACTGTCATGCAATCGAAAGGAACTGCAAACCGTCGAGACAAATCAATGCGTCACTACACTGATCCCCCATTTATTCTGAATTCGTTTCCAACTTCTCTTTAATGGTTTCAAAACACAAAATCCCTTTGATTTGCATCTGAAAATAAGCTGAGAGTTCCAGTAGTTCAGACTAGAACATTTTTACTTATCATAGGCTTTACGAACGACTTGTAGTAGGAGCAGTTACTTCTTTCTTGTTCAGAACCTATTTAATTAAGGTTATTTAATTAGAAAATCAGACTGAGGTATTTTTGTGACTGGACGCAATGGTCTCCACTATCGTTATGACGTTTTATATCAATATTGATTCGCATTAGAAGAAGAGAAGATTTATTGTAACAATTTTAATAGTTCGAATGCAGTAATTTGTTCGCATCTAATTCTTGCTTTTACTGTACGACTTGTGAAAATAGATGCGGCAGAATTGGAACGAAATGGCTGTTTTTCTTTACCTTTATTGAGGAATGTTGTGTTGTGATTGAAAAGAACATCGACAAAAAGCTTGCAAATAGAATTAGTTACCAAATATGATACAAACGATGCTTAAAAGGAAAGTTTGGTAGGGAGGGTCCAAATCTGCAAAGGGGGGTCCACATCCGCTGTGATACCGGTGTCACAGCGGATATGGACCCCCTTCGCAGATTTAGACCCCCCTACCAAACTTTCCTTTTAGGCTTTTTTTGTCGATGTTCTTTTCAATCACAACACAACATTTCCTCAATAAAGGTAAAAAAAAAAACAGCCATTTCGTTCCAATTCTACCGCATTCATTGTAGCGAGTATACAGTATACGCAAGTATTAGATGTGAACAAACTACTGCATTCGAACTATTGAAATTGTTACAATAAATCTTTGCTTCTTCTAATGCGAATCAACATTGGTAAGAAACGTCATAACAATAGTGGAGACTATTGCGTCCAGTCACAAAAATAACTCAGTCTGATTTTCTAAAATAATAGCATTAAACAGTTTTTGAACAAGAACGAAGAAACTACTCGTATTACAAGTCGTTCGTAAAGCCTATGATAAGTAAAAATGTTTCTATTCTGAACTATTGGAACTCTCAGCTTATTCTCAGATGCAAATCAACGTTAATGTCAACGTCTTAACAAAAGTGGAGACTATTACATCGAACTCAATCTTATTTTCTAATTTTAACGATTATTAACTGTTGAGGGATCCGAAATAACACCTTAACAATTAGGAAGACGTCTAGAGTCTGGCAATCTGCAGACAATGAAGAGCCACTCGTCCTCCGAGGCAGTCTTAAATCCCTCGCACTGTACCATGTCGTCCCAACACTCGGGCATTGAACAATGACAAAATAAGTTAGTGTCACAAGTTTGTTTCTCAGTGAATCTAACGGTGTTCGACTATCGCGGAAAAGGTTCAAAAACGACCTCTCTCCAGACATTAAACTAAATTCTTGCCCATTTTCCCTCGGTCAAAAGAAACATCCGCGGGATGCCAGTTCGTATGCATTAACGATACGCATGTTTTGAATTGAAAAGTTACTTTAGTACGCTCTGGAACGTAAAGTATCATCCATTTTTACTAGAACTTTAAGGATGATGTTTTCACTCAGTTTTGTTGAGGGGTCCAAATCCGCGGAGAATCCGCCAGCGGATTTGGACCGGGGGGTCCAAATCTTGGGGGGTCCAAATCCGCTGGGACACCCGGCATTCCAGGAGAGAAATCGGGGCTGAAATACCCAAAGCCATTCCAATCTTTGCTTTCCATATCGCTTTATGCAAAAGTAGCCTCATTGAAGATTGCCCAGGAATAACCATTTTTACAGTTACATTTTCAACGTGATAGATAGAGCGGATTATTTATGGTTGCAAGTGTTAATTGGTTTTGAGGCCGCGTTTGGCGAGTTACAACTTTTCCGTGAGTATTAAAGCGTTATTAAGACAGTTTGTTCTCTTGGAAAATATACTTTTCCTTGCAATGTTTTAACACGTACTCAAGCAACAACACGTGGCTAAACAGCACAGCACGTTTCCTTGCTGATATCCCACGACTGAGACCTCTAACGTTCCTTCATCGCGATATGTTTTCAATGTAATCTTTTTAATTTGATCCAACCATTCCGAATGAACTCTTAAGAAAAGCAAATAATGGTCAATCACGGAAAAATGCCGTGCGTTCCTTCGAGCAAAAAATGCAAAGGGCCGCAATATATCTTGCTAACTACCCAGAGTATGTTTGGAGAAAACTTGCTTCTATGATGCTTTCCGAATAAACTGTAGTCCAGCAAAGAAGCATGAATGTCGGCGTACAAACCAATCCCGAGGTCAAAGTTGCAAACAGCCTCCACTTATACATATTACGATCTTATGATCAATTGCAATGAGGTACTAAAGTTTAAACGTAAAAAGGTACGTTTCCAGATATGAGTCAAGAAACGTCCTGAACATCGTGAATAGTTTTAAATGATGACTTTCGGTTAAGTACTGACCACCAAATATACACCATCGTATCTGCAGACGGCGAACCGTGAAAAAAATTCAGAATGCAAACCTCAGTCGGAGTCTTTTCTATTAGTGTTTTATATCGAAAACTGTTTGCTCCAAGCAGCTTTCAAAGATGCTCACATCTCTGCCTCTGTCGCGGCGTAGCGTGAGGTAAATGAGACTCATATTGCGTTAGGGATATCGAAAAGGGTTTGATTGATGACATTAACCCATAGTATTTCCCGACGGAAATAGTGTCTATGAACCCGTAATCTTGAAATAACAGTTTTCGAAGTGAACTTTTTTAAGAACATCAGACTTTTCATACAAGGAACTACAATGCAACCAGGATAACAAATCCATCGTTGGAAGGAGATCCTTTTCTACAGTGTATAGTGATGTTCTACTAAGAAAAGGAAACCCAGAAGTTGAGGTGGCACTAAAAGTGTACAACAGTCTTTTTAGAAGCAACAACATATCGCATTTTTTTGATGAGGAATATGCTCAGAGATAGGCTTTCTGTACTGTACAAAATATCACAAAAGAAATATAGAAATAGAGAAGAATACATCTAAATGCGTATTGTTGAAAATGTAACTGAAAGTTAACAGTGGAAAGAATATCTCGTAAGAATAAATTTATTATCGATGGCAAAACAGATTTGACAGGTTATAAAAAGTAGGTTTGAGGAGGACAATTGCAAAAAAAAACCGTGCAAATTAAAACAAATTTTATGGTCAAGTGTACTAGACATTATGTACCTTGAATCGTATACCTTAAAAATTTATCCTAATTTTTTCTTCCGTCTT